TGAAGCTCGACACCAGGTGGCTAACGGTCATGAAGACCCAGTCAGCCAACGTGGGCTAAATCTAAGGAGTCAGTTATGCTCCTGATCACATGATCTCGGCGTCAACTACACACTTATCGCTTATAAATAGTTGTGAGCAGCTATGAAAAAGGACCCTTTTTTTGGAGATCTAAGGCATCGAATTTTGAGGTCCAAAAAGTTAGACGCACGTACATCAAGAGCCAACAGCAGCCGCAAGCAGTTAGAACACTCAACAGAGGCTATTCCCTTCTCGGGTTGAAGCAATCTTGCTCCGATCATTAACGAGAAGTAAGCTCGGCACGAGCATCAAGCGAGGCATCTCATCGCCACGTTGAACCCATGTTAAACAAAGGAGAAGCTGAATCAATCTTCTCCTCTTATGTACTTGAAGAAGAGCGATTGTAAAAAGATTATTATCAAGCAATAGAATCTCTTCTTACAACCAAGCAGTTGGAGAACCCGTCGTCTTGTCTTTTTCGAGACCCTACAATGTCGTGCAATGAACTGAGCGGATATAAAACAGTATGATGCCCCAGAATCAATTAGGGTAAACGCAGGGACTGAATAAACCAAAATGGTACTTGTGACTACATCACCAGATGTGTCTGCCTGCTCAGCGGTAAGTGTTAGAACATGATCTTGTCTCTGCTGCTACTGAGCTTGCTGACCGTATTACCCTGGGCTCATCTGCTGATACTACGACCGGTATGAGTGCTGGAAATAGGGACTTCTCCACTGTCTCTAGCCTTAAAATTGTTGACCCCTCTGATGTCCTCGGAACATGTGTTGCTGAGTAGGAAGTGACGGCCTCCACTATTGTCCACCCTGTCTAGCCTGGCTTGCTGGTACTATTGTTCCACCTAAAGCTCCTCCTAAAACTCCTCTACTAGGGCAAGTGGTAAGGTGATGATTTGCCACCCCACATGCTAGGAACAACCCGTTAGATCTCCTGCAGTCCTTCATCAAGTGTCTGGTTTGCTACAAAAATGGAAAATCATGTTGGTTGGTTGTCGAGCTGGTCTCGAAGTCCCTGTCTGTTGGCACTTGGCTGGTGCTCCTCCCATCTGAGGCTTCTGCTGGTTACCTCCTGAGGTCTGTCCTGCAGGGCGCTTGTTTGCCCCTCTCCTCACCGAGTTCATGATCCCAATCAGTTGTTCTGCTTTTCAAGTTGCCTCTAGGACATTTGTATAAGTCTCAATCCCATTCTGACTGTAAATCTGAGTCTGCATCGCAAAATTTAGACCATGCATGAACCTTTATCCCTTATCCATCTCATTCGACACCATCCCCGGGGTAAACCTGCTGAGCTTGGAAAATTCTACTGCATACGCATCTACAGTACTAGCTCTCTGTCTCAGCATAACAAACTGCCTCTGAATATCAAGATGAGTTGTCTTCAGGAAAAATACCTCTAGGAAACTCTCTCGGAATATCTCTCATGAAATTGGCTTAGGCAACTTCTCCTCCTCTGCATCCCACCAGGTTCTGGCTACATTAATGAGTTACAGTTGTACAATATCCATTTGGTCTTCATCTGGTATCTTTGATGCCCTTAATAGGCGGTCCATGGTCTGCAACAACATCTCGGCGTCATATTCGCCTTCAGTCCTAACAAAGTGTTGTGGATCGAGCTTTCGAAAATCGGACACATTACCCGGCCTTGCAGCATGCTGCTGCCCATCCCTCTGGCGATTATGAGCTACTGACCTGCTGTCCCTTAGGCCCAACTGGAGTAGGGGGTCGATGTTTTGGGGCCATAATGATCATCTAAAATGAGATTGGTCAAAATTAGGACTTGAGAATCAATGTATTGGGAGTCAAAGGACGTCTTTCTAAAAAGCAGAGAACTTATTCTAAACATGCTCTATTCTTGGCCTAATCATAGTTTTTTTATTATACAGGATGAGGCAACAATTATCTAACCTGGCTCTGATACTAATAAAAACCTTGTCACGCCCCAGTTCCAAAATGTAATAACTTGGAACGTGACTCGGCCGACAATGCAACTATTCGGCCACATTCACGCATCTAGATCATCTTGTATATAGATATAAAGAAAAACTACATGATAGAGCATGTAACTAAGACAATAAAAGAAATATATAGATTAAGAAATCTACAAAAGGACGGAGTCCAAGAACGAGTTCACAACTATCCACAAAGGGAAAGGGTAATAAAAAATTACATTATAGTCTAGAAAAAAATGTCACATATGACTCAAGAAAAAGTCTAAAACAAATAACTACCTAAACCAACTGAACTGATGGACTAAAAGGTGATCACTGCCACTGGACTTACTCCTCAAAATATTTTCGATCCTGTGAAGAAATAACAGTTCCCGAGTTTGGGGTGCGCAAACCCCAAGGGAGTCAGAAAACTCCCAACAAGCATGTAAAATGAAGGAATTGTGCGGGTGTAAATATATGTAGCATGTATAAAGAAAAGATAAAAACTCAATTAAAGGTGATAAAAGAAAATGCTAATTTGTAGATTTCAAACAAGGTCTACCACAAAGGACTCAATCACATTATTATTATTTTAGGTGCTATTTGAATTAAAAAATATTTTTATGTATATAAATCGGGTTTTCGTAAACCGTCCTGGGAACACGGTTTCAAGTCAGGATTGGTCCTTAGCTCTTATATATATAAATTTAGATATCAAGAATGCACATGAGCACGCTTATATACACATTATATTCCGTCCAATTCCTCTTTATAAACCCCACATTTATTCATTTATTTTAAGTGGTTGTGCATAAAATATTATTCACTATCCACAGAGTTACCATGGAACGGCTTCCGTAAAATTTATAAAAAATAACTGTGACCCAAAACATGTCCAATCAAAATAGGTGCATCGTCTAGTTAATCCTATTATAATAATAGTAATAATCAAGAGAAACTCCTCACATCTAGATATCGATGTCGAGGGTATAGACATGTTATGAATCTGATAACACGTTTATGAACCATATTTCTTGACGGAAGTCGTCTTCATGCCCAATCAACCCTATTAAATGTCACTAGGTGATTAAACATAGCATCAGGTGATCCAATAAGCATCAAGAGATCAAACAATATCATCATTCATCTTAACAAAAGGAAAATAAATAATTAGCGTTATTGTTTAGTGTCAAAGCGGGCCAAACAAGTTTTAATTTGACAGCATAGAAATCTGTAAAACTGATTTTAGTGAGCAAAAGGCCCAAACGGGTCTAAAATCTGATATTGGATCCTAACTTGGTCAAACGGATCTGTAATTTGAATCATAAACCCAAACGAGTCTGAAATCTGATATTGAATCCTAATTGGGTCAAACGGGTCTGGAATTTGATAATGGATCCGAACTGGGTCGGGTTTGCCTTCACAATAGACCCAAAGATAATTTTTTTGTAAAAATGAAAGCTTATAGGATTCAAACCCGTGACTAAGGGGTTAGCAACCAAGTCATGTGACCACTAGGCCAACCACATCTATATGAAATCAACTGTTGCAGAAATACATATAACAGATAGTTTCTGATTACTAGACTAACCAAAAACAAATTAATTAGAAGTAGGGTTTGAAAATTGATAACCCAAAAATACATAATTATACTAAACTGGGCCAAAATGGATAATAATTATTTTATTCGAATTATGAAAAAATTTAAAATTAAAAAAAGAGTTTTTTCTTGTTAGAAAAATATCATTATCTAAAAGAAAAATGCTTGCATAAAAAGTAAAGATTTTTCCTACATCATTGTGATCAACAAAAAGTGATAAACCCAACTACAATCTCTTGCTCATGATTTTCTAGAAAGAAATCCTAGTAATTAGATAAGGTGATCATGAAAAATAAAAGAGTTGAAGGATAAGAAATGTTTGCCAAAATTAAACTCTGAAATTGCAATCCTTATTCGTTATTTGTTCCTTCTCCTTGAGTATCTGATTCTCCTCTCAAAATTTTCTCCTTTTTTTTTCTTTTGTTCCCATGTGTTTTTAGGAAGAAAACAAAGTAGATAGATAAACTCTTAAAGAAGATAGTGTTGTTAACAAAATATTAGGTAGTTAGAGATTTTCTAGTAAGAGAGCAAGGGATTGGTTGAGATATTTCCCTTTTTTTGTTCAACGTGGTTTCACTGTTATAGAGAAAAATGGGAGGGTTTTTTTCATGAGATGAGAAAAGAAAAAAATTAGGTATTACAGTATATATTCATCATCAATCATTAACGTCTCATACCAACCATACCTAAGGAGCCCCCAAGGAATAGTGACCAGCTCTTGCATGATAAGGAAGATGGAGCTGAGTTGAAGAAGATGCAGTCTCAGGATCGCATGATAAAATGAGCTCCTGAGACTACAAGAGATCCTAAAGGGAGTTGTTCAGAGTACAAAATTTTATTGAGTTGATATCTGCCACCGTTATAGATTCATCTGAAGAGAGTAATCATCACTCGAGCTTCCAATTTCAAAGGTCCCATCTTACTAAATAATGTCTTCCTCGTGTCAATCATACTTGATGCTGAGCTATAGTTTTTGTCCTTGTAATGTAATCGTAGCTTATTTGCATTGGAGAATTGCTTCATACAAATCAGTGTTTGTTCCCTATTCTCCTCAGAACAGTATTTACTTCAATATTGTCTAGTCTATTTTCTCTTACACAGACATTGGGTCATAAATAAGGAGGCATTTCTTATTCTCCTCAGAAAGAAACATCGTGTCAGAACCATTTAAAATCTAAATTTTATTACTATGATCCACGTTGAAATGAATATCCACTCACTTTCTCAAACTTATCAGAGGGCCATTTATAGTGACATAATACTATTAAAAAAACCATCCTAATAAAAGAATCCAACTAAGAAGAGCAAAAAAAAATCCTACAACGGCATATCATTGTTAATCCAATATGTTTGAGTGTGAAATTCAAATATCTTCTTCAGATTTTGAATTAAGGCATCAAACAATCCAAGAAAATTCAAACACCATCTCTAACCTTCGATTAAGTCTCTGAAGAAACAGAATTCAAATCTCTCCTTGAATCTTTAAACCAATGCTCTGCATAGAGCCACGAAACTCGAGTTGCGTTCTTTCTAGAAACTTAAGATTTGCGAAAATGGCATGGGTGAACATAGAGCTCGAGACAGTAGCAGTTTCTCTTGCTGAACCTGAAACAATTACTGTGAGCAAATATTCAGCATTGATACAAATACCTCTTTTGTTTATTCAGAATAAATTAGGAAAAAAATCTAAAATCATTAGAAGTGATGCAAGTTAATCAAGAGCAATACTTGTACTGGTGAGGGCAGTGGAGCAAATAAGACGAAGAGAGCTGCCACTACCAAACCTCAAACTGTGCCAGTAACCAAAAGTTCGATATAAGTACAAGGCAACTTAATTTTAAAAACAATTAAATAAGAAACTTATGATTTTTATGAAAATTAACCTGAAAGTAGGTATAGCTGAGTTGAATGCTTCTGAACCAGAAATACTGTTACCAAATCAAGGTTCAAAATTTTCCCAGGGCCATATCCATGAAAATCATCAAATTGCTCTCCATTTTCTAATCAGCATCCTGTCACCTAACATTTGCATCAACAATGAATTCCCAGTACCTAAGCAACAATCTTCAACAGAAATAATATAACTGCTGTCCTTCTATTCCTTCGGATCCAAAAATTACTTGGACAGCTGAATTTTTTAAAATTTGGTTAGTAAATATTTGCACCAAATACAATCCAACGAGTACTTCACATAAGCATTGAACCGGGGAAAGGCATTTAGCATGTATATTTATATTTTTCAAGTTTATACAACTTTCATGTTTGCTAACACATTGGTATTTCTATAAACAAACACATATATTCAGGCTGCATCCAACATCAACATAGGGAATGAATGCACTAGGAATTACCCATTAGTGAATTGTATGTCTGAAGTACTACATTGCTGATTTAAACAGAAAGCCTATAAAGATTTCCAATGAATGAGGTATCCAATATCCCAAATGATTTGATCTCACAGTTTTCATAATAAAATGATCTCTTCAGGAAGACATTAAAATTGCAACTTTTGTATCATTTTAGCAAGAGTTACAAAGGTAGAAAACTAAATGGCATATATAGAGTTATAGACGCTTTCACAGGATCTTGGAAACAGCTAGTTCTTCGGAACAGCGGCAATGAAGCTGGTTCATGAAGAAAGCTTTCACTTTTCTTTACCACTGGTTCTCCTTGCTTGGCAAGCTTTCAATGCTTGAACTTCTGTTCAGGGATAAGAAAGAAATTAAACCTCATCAAGCTAAATGATTGAACAGCTATAATCACTGCTTTTTGCAGTAGAATACGTTCGTTAAGAACTTACGGAACACAAAGAAAGAGAATATCTTCTCTCATCCATTTTATTCTAATAAGTGACAAATAAATGTTGCATAGACCTGTTAAAAGGAACAAAAGTTAATTGCTCATGGTTATATTTTAGAGAACAACCATCAATCTGTTGGGGTATTCCACGACCTTACAATTGATGACGTGTAACATATTTCTCAAAGGCACTGCTCACTTGCAGGTAACTTTAATCACTAGCCATTCTCAATCTCTGAAAACACTCCTAAATCCACCATTAAAAAATGATAGGGCCCATTAAATGCGCATGAGTTATTGGTCATTAGCTATCGCATCTGATCACACTACTAACATCAACAAGAACGACATCGCCCTGCCGAATAGGACTCATCGAATGCATTCAATAAGAAAAAAATAAGTGTTCCATTACTGATTTCGACTCAGGCGACCTTGCGATTATACCAGCCGCTGCGCAACTTTCAATTCCTCGTTTGTTCTGAACAAGGCATTCCGGAGAGGGGATGGAAAACTCAATCAGTCAATGAGTAAAATTTGAAAAAGTTTACAACTTTAGAGAGAGAGGGATTGAAAAGTGCCTGAAGAGTTAGGTAGAGAACGGAGCACTCGCTGAGCTGCTTCACGTTGTCGTCGTCTTCATCCGCATCGCTCTGATGCATCGCCGGCGCCGAAGCCGGTGCTTTGTCAGTCGGAGACGAAGAAGAAGAAGAAGAAGAACCCATTGAAAAAAAAATTCTCCTCTCCTTTTTGGCCCGAAATTGACAAACCCCAAGTCAAATTTTAGAAGGTTTCGGACTCGGAGATTAGCGGGGAACGGGTCGGGTGTTTTTGACCTGACCCGACCTCAGTTTTTTTTTTTTTTCCCTTTTGTTTAAAGATATTAATCCCTTAAATCCATGTTTGTTTTATATCCTAGGACTAGCGGTATTACAACTCTCTGACTTTAGGGGCTGTTTGGTTCGCTTTAAAACCCCGTAGAAACACTTTTCTCCTCCTGACACCCGCTCCACATCGACAAAACCCATTCTAGGGTTTTCGTTTCCCATCTTTGGTTCGCTTCTCCCCCTCGTCCCTCCAGCCGCGGAAATCCCCTCCACATCGGACTTTTTTCTTCGCCCCATTTCCTTCGAAAACGAGAGGAAATCGCCCCCGATCTGTACTATTGTCAGATCTCGGGTAAATGGGGGGAAACACGGTTGAGGGCTAGGGTCACCTCCTCTTTCATCTTTCCCTCGCTTTTTCACTCTTCGCGCCTTGGGTTCTCTTCGTGGCTTGCAGGGGTTCTCTTCGTGGCTTGCGGGGGTTCTAAACTGTTGATTTTGTCCGATCTTGGGATCTCGTGGCTTGCGGGAGCTCCTATTTGTTGGTGTTTTGCTGGATTTTGCTAAAATTTGGGGGGTTTTGCTGGATTTCGTGGCTTGCTGGATTTTATCAGCGCCTTGTGGCTTGCGGGGGTTCTAAACTGTTGATTTTGTCCGAAGCTAAGTTCTCGTGGCTTGCGGGAGCTCCTATTTGTTGGTGTTTTGCTGGATTTTGCTAAAATTTGGGGTTTTTGCTGGATTTCGTGGCTTGCTGGATTTTATCAGCGCCTTTATTGGGAAAAATTGGGGGTTTTTTGCCGACTTTGATCTTCCTGGAAACTGATTTCAGACCTAAGGTATGATTCTCAACTCAGAATTGATTTGTTAAAAATTTTGTATGATTTGAATTATTTAGGATGAAATTTTGTATTATGATTTGAATTATTAGGATGAAATTTTGCATTTTCTATAGTTATCTAGAAATTAACAGAAATTTATCTAAAAATATAATTGTAATTAACTAAAAATATTCCTTCAAATATTATTATAATTAAGTAAAAATTATATTAATTATTATAAATATAATTGAAAAGAGAACAGAAATGAACTGACAATTATCTTGAATGGTCGTAAAAGAAACTGAAAATATTGATGAAATATTAACTGAAAATTAACTTTAGATCTTGTTATGTGTCATTTAAGTTTTGATTATTGACATTGCATATGAATGCTTGGTAGGTATATTAATTATTTCAATTTGATTTTTGCATCGTAGATGGATGGTGATGGGGATTGTACCGATGAACAAAGTGTTGTTAATGTGGTTCAAGGTGCTGCACTATCCGTTCTTGTTATAATAATTACATTCATAAGGAGAATGCAAGCTAGACGTAAATCTATACGTCGTGGTCCAAGTGAGGAAAAAAAAGACAAGAGAGGTCTAGAATTGAACATATAGAGCGTATTTATAATGGTTTTAGTGATAGTTGTGTGAATTATATTAGAATGCGGAGTGGTGCTTTTGTTAAGCTAGTAAGTATAATGAGGAACAATATGCTTCTAAAAGACTCAAGGAATATATCAGTGGAAGAACAACTTATCATGACACTAAATATTTTGGGTCATAAATCTAAAAATCGCATTGTGAGATCTCATTTCATAAGATCAGGGGAGACAGTCAGTAGATATTTCAACAAGGTTTTACAAGCAATTATCTGTTTGCGTGGACGCTACATGAGACAAGCCATCAATGATACTCCCCAAGAGATCGTTAACAACCAGCTATACTATCCTTATTTCAAGGTATATCTACATTTTAACCACAGTTACATGTATAAGCAATAAAAATAAATGATAACTTAGTAATGTGATACACGTATTATAGGATTGCATTGGTATGATAGATGGGACTCATGTTGATGCAATGCTTCCGATTAATCTTGTTGCACGATTTCGAGGCCGCAAAGGTGTTACACAGAACGTGCTTGCAGCTTGCACCCCAGACAAATTGTTCATATATGTCTTAGCAGGTTAGGAGGGGTCTGCAAATGATTTTAGAATTCTCCAAGATGCATTATCTAGACCACAGCCACATGGATTGAAAGTCTATGATGGTAATTATATAAAAATTTAACTTATACTATTTTAAATTTAATATGCAAAATTGACTTCTTTAACAATTGTTTTAATAAAATTGTAGGCAAATACTATCTGTGTGATGCTGGGTACCCTACCATGCCAGGTTTCATATCTCCATACCGTGGTGTTCGATATCATTTGAAAGAACATTCGGGTAAAACACCTAAGAATAGAAGGGAATTATTCAATTTAAGACATTCTTCTTTGCGGTCTAAGATTGAATCTGCATTTGGCACATTGAAGAATCGTTTTAAGATTTTGTGTGCTAAGCCGCATTATCCATTTCCTACACAAGTAGATATCGTATTGGCATGCACGATACTTCATAATTTCATCGCAACTGTTGACCCAAGCGATGAACTACTCAGCGAGTCCGAAATTGATGAAGATATTGATGGTGAGGTGACAAATGAGAATGATAATAATTTAGTTGATTTTACTCAGACTCAAACTCAAAGAGAACAAACTGAATCAAGAAATGAGTGGAAGACCCTTAGAGATAACATTGCTTGGGCGATGTGGGTGGACTATTGTGATAAGTATAATCATGGTGTAACTACTGAGACTTAATTCTCATATTTGTTGTACTATTTATGCTCATGTATGTAGTGACAATTTGATGGTTTGTCCACTTTTTAGATTTTGCTTTTCATTCATGTAGTCATGTTCTTATATTTTGCTTTGCAATATCAATCATGTATTCATGTTCTTATATTTTGCTTTGCAATATCTTTCATGTACTCAATTTGTTCTTATTGACTTAATTAGTGATGGCTGATACTCCTAAAGGCAAGGGTGTAGCGCCATCTCAGCCTCCACCATCTCAACCCCCTCAGTCATTGCATCAAGGCGATAGTGGGTATTTTCCTTTTCAGCAGTCATACTTTGGGCAACCACCTCATGCATTTCCCACCATGCCATTCCATGATGGCAGTTACTTCCCGATGCACCCTCATTTTGGGTCATACACGAGCATGCTAAGTTCTCCTACTTTGCCTACACAATTCCATAGTCCTAATATTAGTGGGGTGCAACTTTCTCCCAGTAGTGGTTATGGCTCAACTCCCGAATCAGGTTCCAAACGGGTGCTCATAGAAGGAGGGGAAGAAACATCACCAAATCCAAAGAAGAGGAGGAAAAACACATCAACAAATAAAAAAAATAGTGAGACTGGAGGTCTTAAAGGTAACAAACATATGTTCTGGGATTCCCGTTACGATGATGAGCTCATTCCATTTCTTGCCGACATGGTAAGAAAGGGTTACAAACCCGACAAAAGCTTTAAGAGAACCGCTTTTCATATGGCTTCCCAACATATTAATGAGAAGTTTAACACATCATTCAAGTGGGAAAATGTCATGAACCGCATCAAAACTTTGCGTACAAGATTCCGTGATATGGAAACTCCAAGACTGTCATCATGGAGCCTGAATTTTTGGATAGGTGGATTGAGGTACATAAACTATTTTTACATAACCCTTGATTACTTATCTTATTTACATGTTTTCATTGAATTAATTCAATTATACTTTTCAGGACAAGAGCTTTAAGAATGCTAAACTTAGACAATATGTCAATAAACCCTTGACTCACTATGATGATCTTTCCCTTATCATCGGGGATGATCAAGCTAGAGGAGAATTTGCATGTGATGCTTGGAAAAAATTTAGTCGTAGTGAGTCCATAAATCTTGGAGATGATGGTGACTCGCCTTTACCTGCCTCACAATCCCCTCAAGTACACATTTTAGATGAAGAGGACACTCCTCCGCCTAAGGAAACACCCGCCATATCAAGTTCTAAAGCAAAGGTATGTGTTGCTAAGGGAAAGGCTCGTAGGAACAACCTAGAAGATGAGCTCATGTTAAAAATGGTGGATAAGATAGATGTATTTAGCGCAAACATGAAGTGTGTAAATATGCATTGGACCGAGAAGTTATCCACGGTCATATATGCTCATTTACAAGATTTTAGTGTTGAAAAGCTAGATACATACTACCGACACTTATATTTGAATGAGCATGAAGCAAGACTATTTATGGGCATATCATCGGTTGGTCAAAAAGAGATGATTGCTACCTTTCTCAACGAAGGGGGTTGAAGACCGATAGAAGAAGTCTCTACGTGGTATTTTGTGATTCTCATTTCTAACATACTTGTGAAATCCACTTACTTTTGGTGATAATGTTTTTATTGTGTTTGTGGAACATTATGATGATGGAACATATTGTTGTAATATGTAGTAAGTATTTATTTGCGTCCATTTTGTAATATTTATCTTCCATGATTAATATCATTTTGTGGAATACTAACTTTTGTAATTGAATTTGTGAATGCAGGATATTTCCTAAGATGCAAGCAACCTACAATGTGTACACATTGTACTGGATGGCTATTGCTCTGGGGCATTTAGGTATTTGGTTTTCGTTGGTGATTTTTTTATTTTTAGGCTATGATGATTGTCAATTTTTCTGAGATTAGCAACCTACAATATCTATTGATATTGTGATTTTTTTATTTTTAGGCTATGATGATTGTCAATTTTTCTGAGATTAGCAACCTGCAATATCTATTGATATTGCATTGGATGGCTAACAATGATGATATTGACCAAGTTCTGAGCCCTAAGCTAAACACAACATGTGCTCAGTCTATGTTGGTAGTTGTTGTTGTTGCTGGTTGCTGGTTCTTCTGATTTGGTTGTTGCTGGTTAGTTTGGTTGTTGCTGGTTTTTGCTGGTTGTTGTTGGTTGGTGGTTTTTTGGGTTTGTTGTTGCTGGTTGTTGGTTGATCTTGTTGTTGGGTTTGTGGTTTCTTGTTGTTGCTGGTTGTTGGTTAGTTTGGTTGTTGGGTTTGTGGTTTCTTGTTGTTGCTGGTTGTTGGTTGATCTCTACGTTGTTGTGTTTGTGGTTTCTTGTTGTTGCTGATATGGTGTTCTCTACGGTGTTCCTTCTGTTTTTGGTTGTTGGGTTGGTGATTTCATTCCAGGTTGCTAAAAGAAGTTCTTGTTTGTTGTTGGGTTTGTGATTTCCTTCCAGGTTGGTTTTTGGCTTTGTTGTTGTGTCCAGGTTTGTGACAATTTCCAGTTTTGTGCACACCAGTTTTGTGAGCTCACTGTTTGTGGATGCTCTGTTGTTCAACTTCTATTTGAGCTAATATTTTGTGGAGTTCTATGTGTGCTCAGATTTTCCGCACTGTTTGTTGATTATGATACTGTTTGTGGGTGTTCAATTTAGGCTATGATGATTGTTAATTTTTCTTAGATTAGCAACCTGCAATATCTATTGATATTGCACTGGATGGCTAACGATGATGATATTGAGCAAGTTCTGAGCCCACAGTCATAATTCACATATACTGGATGGCTATTTGCTATGTTATATACTAAAATATGGCTATTCAGCCCGTTTATATGTTTTTATAGGTTTCAGAAATTTTTTGGGCTAATTCAGGTATATATTTCATAAATTTATGAATAATCAGGTTATTACAGGGCTTGTTTATTTTTTCTTGGAAAACAGGTTTTGTGTGATTATTTTCATCTCAAACAGGTATATTTCATGTCAAATCTGGTACGCAGTTCATGTTACAGTAGGTTTCAGATGATTTCAGGTTTCGTATGATTTCATTAATACAAACAGAAATTTATAATTCATTCGGGTTATTTTTATTTGTTCACGATACATTCACACTTTTATATGATTAAGATTACATCTCATAACTAGCACAAATAATTTTTATCTATAGTGGGGGGTAATCTTACCATGGTGACTCTAAACACTTTTCCATACACACTTCAAAACCAACCAAACACAAGAAAAGTGGGAAATGTCAAATCAACAAAAGTTTTCCCTTTTTTTCTCATGCAAACCAAACACAAGAAAAGTAAAAACATTGGTTTCTCACCATTTTTTTGTGCGAACCAAACCAAAACAAATTATTTCTTGGAAAAGTTTGGAAAACTAAAAACATTGGTTTCTTTACATGGAATTACATTTCCCTATATCTAGGAAACGAACCAAACAGCCCCTAAGTTGCACGAAAATACCATATAGCTCGTGGCACTCAAATAACACAAGTTGTATTTTAGTCAAAAAAAAATAGGGAAAAAATGTTTCAAGACCCCCAAAAAAGATCCAGATGTGGCCCAGCCTCACCATCTTTTTTCCTTACTTTTTAACCCTTAAAATCCCAAAAAATGTGTTCAGCCCCCTTTTAAAACTCTCCAATGAATACATCCCAAAACATTCCGAAAATACCCTTTCCTTATCTTCTTCTTCTTCTTCTTCTTCTCTGTGGTTTTCTCCTCGTCCCCCACTGCTCTCAATCTCCTCCCCCTCCTCCCCTCCTCCTCCTCTCAATCTCCTCCCCCTCCCACCCCCTCCCCTCCTCCCCCTCCTCCTCCTCTCAATCTCACCCCCTCCCCCTCCCTCTCCTAGTGGTGGTCCTCCACCGCCGCCCTCTACTTTGATCAGACCCTCTTCTATGTCAACCGCTCATTCGCCATCTCCCTCTCAATCGCCGACCAACGCTCCACCATCGTCTCCTACTCAGGGCCGCTCTCTACTTGTGACCTTGTTATTGCTGCGTTAGGTAGAGGATTGAAAGAATTTATTTTAGAATGTTGTGGTTGGATTGAAGATACAATTTTTGTTGAGAAAAGTGTGTTTGAGTGTATGATCAGAGGATTGAGCTTGGTGGGTATGGTTGAGGATGCAAAAAAGATGCTTGATAAAATAGGTCACTTGGGGTTTAAGCCATCGGGGTTTGAGTAAAGAGTGGTGATTCAATGGTATGGACGGTTAGGTGTAGGTGTGAATTTCTGATCTCCCAAAACAGGGATTTCGTTTGTATTTATAAGAACAGCTTATTACAAACTAATGAATCGAAATTACAACAGAAGCGGAGGGAATGCCCACCTTGTTTAATGTGGGGACTTTCGGTAGCGATAGGATGCCTCCCTCGGTGCTCGTGCTGAGTTTGCTTCCCTTGGACGATCCGATCGAAGTTGCTGCTGGAGCTTCAGTTCTTAGTAGAAGGTTTGATGTAAGTGGGTTCGAGTCTACCCGAGAGCCTCAAGTCGGAGAGTTTCGACAAGTCTCTTCAAATGAGGGAGCCTTTAGCAAAAGCCAAGGTTCAACCTTTGGAAGATTAGCCAGCCGAGTAAGCAGCAACCAATCCCCTCTTCATGTTGGCTGAAGATGGCTTTAAATATGCAAGGGATGGCATGGGCCATCCCTTGATTTGTAGGATTTGACCACTAGTAGGGGTGAGGGAGCCAGCCACCCTATTCTTGTAGCTGTCCCTGGCTGTACGTAGTACTCAGGTGAGGAATGTCATGCTTTCTCCCTTGAAACGTGGGATATGACCACTGATGGGACTGTTCCCATACTCCAAGTGGGCAGTTGACAGAGAACTGGCGAGTCTGCAGGCGGACTTGGGTCTGCAGGCGAGATTGGGTCTGCAGGCGGGCTTGGGTCTGCAGGCGAGTTTGCTCGCGTAGGCGAACTGCAGGCGGACTTGGGTCTGCAGGCGAGTTTGCTGAGCTGAGTCTGCAGGCGGACTTAGGTCTGCAGGCGAGTTTGCTCGCATAGGCGAACTGCAGGCAGACTTGGGTCTACAGGCGAGCTGAGTCTGCAGGCGGACTTGGGTCTGCAGGCGAGTTTGCTTGTGCAGGCGAACTGCAGGCAGACTTGGGTCTGCAGGCGAGCTGAGCTATGTAGGCGAGTTGCGCTAGAGGAAGGGCTTTAATGCTGTCAGGCGGGCTGAGCTATATAGGCGAGCTGTTAGGCGAGCTCTAGCCCTGCAGACGGATTTCCTTGTAGGCGAGCTTCAGCCTTTACAGGCGAGTCTCAGCCTTTATAGGCGAGCTTCAGAACATGCATCGAAAAACGGGTCGTAACTTTCAAACCGTAAGTCGGAATTAGACAAATTATATATGAAAATCGACTATCTCGACGAGACGGAGCCGACCAAACTGACCCGAAGGGTTTGGTTTGCTTTCTCTATTTTACCAAATTCCTTACGGTTTGAGAGATATCTGCGTTTTTTTCCTTTTTCTGCTATTTCGGGCGAGGTTTTAGCAGTTTTGTTCTGAACTTCTGTGATAGGGATTAAAGGCAATTTTTATTGCCTACAAAACTCCCTCTAAAATTTTCAGACCTGAATCGGACCGCATGGGGTCTGGAACACTTTGGATATGAAGACCTGTAAAGTGGTCCCTGCTCAGATGGAGTGAGGAGCCTTCCAACGAGCTCGGTGAAATTAACCTCTTCACTCATAGTTGATGATCACCTTCTAGGATTTTGAGAAAACCCTCAGCCATCAACGGACTTGATTTGTCTTTACCAACTGTCGTTTGAGTTGGACTAGCCATACTCTTGCCCTTAGCATGATAAGGTTTCAAGGAGTTACTCTTAGGCTTAATGCTAAAATTTCTCCTCTATCCTTAGCCATTTGAGGCGTTTGGATATAGAGAGTAGGGAGTAGTTTAACCTCATATACCAGTCGGAGGGTAGGAGCAGTTTAGTCTCATGCACCAGTTAGAGGAAAGTGACAGTTTAGACTCTTGCACCAGTGGGAGTGTAAGGGGCAGTTTAGACTCATGCACCAGTGAGAGTGTAAGGGGCAGTTTAAACTCATGCACCAGTGGGAGTGTAAGGAGTAGTTTAGACTCATGCACCAGTGGGAGTATAAGGGGCAGTTTAGACTCATGCACCAGTGGGAGTATAAGGGGCAGTTTAGACTCATGCACCAGTGGGAGTATGCCGGGTTATCCTTAGGAGTTTTCTCTAGGAACTTCCCGTCAAAGGTAGGGAACAGTTTAGTCTCATACACCAGTTGGAGGTTTGGGAAACAGTTTATATTCCAGTTGGAGTCGTGAGGAGAATCTCGTCTTCTATTGGGGCTAAAATGAACCCTGATTTGTCTTTTCTTGGGGCAAAGACGAACCCTGATATAGCGGCACATCACATGGTAGGCCACTATCAAACAACAACGCCTTTTACGAGAAAGACGGTGCTGGGGGAATCAAATCGTTTAGGGACGTATGAGTGTGACGATTGATTGCTATAGGAGCCATCGCATGGTAGGCTACTATCCATCGATTGTTCTAAGGAAATATCAGAACGCTCAGAATGGATCAGGTCGTTCAGGGACGTATGAGTGTGATGACTGATCGGACAATGCCATTTGCGGGAATGATAGTGTCGGCTATCAGAGGTAATCGTTAATGTGATAGGAATTATCGTGATCGGAGCGACTTTGAGGACTTACTATCCTATTGAAGAGGATTGGTAAGTTGATTTCGTCAGAGGTGAGGGTTAACATAACATTGGGAGTTCGTCCCATTGTCCTATTGAAGAGGATCAACAGGGAAAATTTGGAGGAGACTATCAGAGGTGATTTTTAACATGATAGCTTTAAGTGGGCTCGTCGTCCTATTGAAGAGGATCGACGGGGAAAATTGTAGGATATGAGGAAGTGGTCTTCACCACCAAGGCATCTTGGTCATCATCTCCTCGAAACCCATGCGGCTCTTCGTCACCCATACGCTTGAGCATGCTCTCGACTCGTTCTCCTTGGCGGAGTAAGTCTTTCCATGAGCGAGTTTCAACAACGCCCATATTAGACAGAACGTCGATGGAGAGATTGTTCCGGCACATCTGGATGAGAGTGGCCTCGGAAACCCATTCGTGGGAATGCAGCGATCGGTTTCTAAATCTCTTGACAAAGCTGTTCACAGACTCTGTCTTCCTCTGCTTTACAGCTAACAGGGTGGCCATAGATACTTCTGTATCATCATCGAAGAATCTGGCCATGAAGATCCTTTCCATGTCCTTCCAGCAGGTGATGGACCCAGGCTCCAATTTGCGAAACCATTCAAAAACGACCCCCTTGAGGGTACCAATGAACAGTCGAGTCATAATGGGATCGTTTCCTACTATGTGTCCAGTTTGCGCCTGGAAGTAGTAAACGTGCTGGGTAGGAGAACCCTTGCCATTGAACTGTAGGAGGTCTAGTGGCTCGAACTCTGCTGGGTAGGAGACCGTATCCCATTCAATTGGATACGGTTGTTGGACCCTAGAGGGGGGTGATTAGGGTCAAGAGGCTTTAATATGCAATTAAAAATCAGCACAAGCAAACCACAAAACAGAAATGCGATAAAAGTAAGAGAGATAAGGTTAGGAGTTCGTTATCCTTGACGCGCGATGTGTTAACGAGGTTCGGCCCTCTGGCCTACGTCCCCGCTCCCCACTCTCGAGGAGAAATCCACTACACACCCGGTTTGGAAGCCGGAACTTCGTCTACACAGCGATCTCCACAG